CTGGATAGAGCCAGTTACTGGCTTGTCCTTCGGAGGCTGATGTTTCGCAGTAGAGTGTAGACATTGGTCTTTGCGGTGGCCATACATGCCACAATCGAAACAGATCAAGTGCAAGCCCTCATAACTTATCTGGTAGACCTTACCTCCTGTCTTGAATTTAGAGAGGAAACTCCTCCTCATATCAACTTCCACACATATACGTGCAAAGTGCGCCTTCTCCGTTATTTCCCCCACACCTATCTCATTTTGCCTTAGAGAGCTTCTGTCGATTTTCAGCGTCTTACCAATAAGATTTCCGATTTTCCATAGATGCTGGGTGGAATACAACTCTATAGGAAGACCCGAAATCCTTACCCAGATAGCTAGCTTCCTCACCTCTTCCTCGTAGGGATCAAAGAGGGGCCTCCATCGTTGAACTATTAGGTAATGCTGGGTAACTACCCAAGGTCCATCTTGGAGCACATGGAGATAGTCTTGTTTCTCCTTGAAGCGGATTAGCAAGTGACCATTGTCAAGCCCTATTAACTCGTAGGAGCTCACCAGGGTCCACAACTTTTCAAGTTTCTGCAAGAGAAACCTAGCACTGATCTTCCTTCCTAGAAGTTTAATAATAATGGCCTTCCTCCATTGCTCACAGTCAGCTCTATGTTGGGCCTTGAAGAAGGTGTACATTGGACATAACAGGTCATCTTCTTCCTCAGGAACTTCCATGTCTTCCTCCTCTTCTTCCCTCCTTTGAATCGCCATCCAGTCTTCCTCCACAATGTCTGGCTCATAGGCTTGACCATTTAGGTGGATGACTTTGTCTCTGTAGGAAAAAAGAGGTCGTTTCTGCCCTCCCTTACTACTAGTTACCAACTTCCCTAGACTCCAGATCCTTTCCTTATCATGGAGGAGGCTCGCGTTGTCTAACATAATCTCCTCTTGACCATCTTTTGGTTTATTGACACTCCTCTCCAAGAGGTCAGCCTCCTCCTTCGCTCGACCTCCATTCTCACAAACGTTTCCAGAGCTCTCGACCTCCATTCTTACAAACAGCTTAGCAGTGTAGGCTTTAGTGTGACCCTGATTTTCCATGATGGATGGATCCGGTGGATACAAACTCTTTTTAGGGTATTTGGCTAAGTCCCCTCTCTAGCCTATTTATATTGAGATTCAGTCCCATGAGCCATCATGCTCCCATCGCTGAGACTGCCACTTTCGAAATAGGTCATAGAGAGAAAGATCCTAGCATATTGTCCCTCTTTTTCTCCAACTTTGTGATGGCTCAACAAGGTATGCATAATCTCATATTTTGATTTTATATTATTTGGATATTTTATAATCATATACATGATCCTGAAATTTTAAATCTTACATTTGGTATCAGAGCGTGATGTATATGATTATAGAATCCATTGAATTTGAGGAAATTGAATTTTTCATAAACTTATTGTTTGATTTAAAAAATTTTGTGCTATCTTAATTAAAAGCCATTTTTAGATTTTCGATTTCCATATATTGTGTATGGCTTATCGATCACCATACGTGGTGTGCTCTTGTCCTACAATTTCTTTTATTTGAATTCCTTTTGGAGTACATGCCTTATTTTCATTAGTATTATTTTTCCTAACTAGATATACAAGTTAGATAAAAGTCATAAAACTTCTCACGTAGGTTTAACGTTTGAAGTTTTATTATCTAAAAATATATATCTATTTGATATTTTATTAATAAAATAAGTGAATCGATAACCGTTTGAAGTTAAAACAAAAAGATATGTTTAATGTATGATGCTGGAAAGCTAGGGTCGCTTCACATTGGTTTATTTTAAATTTTGAAAATTATGTAATCTGTTTCACAATTTTGAAAAACGTACATGGACTCATGACTATTGACAATTTTGTTACTGTTCCTCAAGTTTATGTTTGGTGAAAGCTTTTGGCTTTACGATTCCAATATTTAAGATTTTTGTATTGTTAGCGATAATTTCATTATTGGTTGGTTATTTATTATTTTCATTAAAGGTGAACTGTACTGAAGGGAATAGTGGCCAAAGTGCCACTGTTGCAAAAAAAAAAAACACCAAAATGTCACGCCAACAATAAATTTTGACAAAATGTCACGTGGCATATTTCGCTACACTGTGTAGCGAAATATGTGTGTAAATAATTCGCTACACGGTGTAGCGAAATATGCCACGTCAGAACCAAAAATGTCACGTGTCAAAACAGGAAGAATTTCGCTACACAGTGTAGCGAAATTCTCCCTGTCTGACACGTGGCATTTTTGGTTCTGTGCATTCTGACGCGGCATATTTCGCTACACTGTGTAGCGAATTATTTGCACACATATTTCGCTACACAGTGTAGCGAAATATGCCACGTGGCATTTTGGCAAAATTTACTGTTGACGTGGTATTTTGGTGTTTTTTTTTCAACAGTGGCAAAATGGTCACTGTTTCGTACTGAAGCTTGTCATGCGCAACAATGAAAATGATACATATATATAAAGCATGGAAGGATTTAGATATATATATATATATATATATATATATATATATATATATATATATATATATGTATTTAGTTGCATTTTTCTTTATTTGTATTTAATATGATATAATGCAAAATATTATTTTGGTACACAATTTTGATAATTGTGGTTGATAATGAGTGGTTTAACAAATATGAATGGTCATAAGGTACGATACTTGTATATATATATATAAAATAAAAGATTTTATTCATATTCATGGAAAGTTCAATTACATTATATATATTTGTATTGTCACGCAAGTGAAATATTTCCTTTTATATTGAGAAATGAAAGTGGTTGAATATTGTTGGATATGTGTTAGAAATGGATATGTGTTGTTATTTGCATTTAAAAGTGTGGAAAAATTCAAGTTTTTAAACTTGAGAGTGGCCATGAATAAGGAACCCATTTGTAAAATAGGTCAACCCATTAAAGGAAGAAGAAGACTTATTTGAATCTGTTATACAAACCTTACTCGCGACGTGAGTAGAGTGAGAGAGTGTGAGCATCCATTTTTAAGTAGAATGCATGAAATTTTAATAGTATGATCCTTGGAATATTTATGAATTTTGGTATATTTTTTATAATTTTTTCGCTACATAATATATATATATATATTATGAAATTGTTTCATTTTGTTTATAATAAGGGAGAGTGTGCTCTTTTCATTAATCTAAAATTCACCAAATTTTAACAGTATTATTCTTATAATATTTGTGAATTTTTATATATATTTTTTATAATTTTTTCGGCTCAATATATATTTTTATGGAATTATTATGTTTTGTTCTATATATAAATATATAAAAATATATATGTGTGCCCAAATTTTAAGAATCTAAGTTACTGAAAAATTATTATGTCAAATGATGAACTTGATGACAATATTACTATTTAGAGATTCTTGAGATCCATTTACACTTTCAATTACAGTTTCACATTTAGGTTTTAGTGAAACACTTGGTTTTGTGAAATGAGTGAATTATTGTGTTTCATTGGATTATGCCTCTCTTTTCAACGTGGGTTGAAACTTTTCATTGGATCTCTACATCTTAATTTTGTGTGTGGATATAAGTACTATTTATGTACTGTTTAAGTCATGAAATTCCATGTTTAATATTTTGACTGGATTTTCGATTTCTATGACTTTAGTGAGTGTATTACTGTTACACTATTATTGTCTTCGTATAGTTACGTCGTTCACGCATTGCTAATGCTTTGTATATTGGAGCTTAAAGTATTAAAGCCATGCCCTTGACTTCCATATTATTTTCTTAAATGTTGATTTTGTGGTAGAAATTGGCATCCTTTATACGGTATTGTATGCGCAAATCTTTTTTCTTTGCCTTTTTCTATTTGCCTATTTACTATTATTAGTGATATTCTATTTATATTACATTAAGTGGGCTATTGGAATTTCTGTTGGGCTTTAATCATTAAATTTTCAATATTCATTTTGGCTGACATGTTATTTCTCGTACTTTAGATTTCACATCTGATTTGAGTCTGTAACTTATTGGACATGTGGTTTTGATTTTAGTGAAATAAATGAGAATTGTTTGGACTTTTGCATAGTTTTGTGAAATAGGTTCACATAGGTATGTCTCATACATAATAAACTTTGTCCTTTTTGAGACATTTTAGTGGGTTTTCACATTTCACATTTTGAATTTAGTGAAATTTGTTTCATATTTCATTTGGTTATATGGTTCTTCAATATATATTTTTTTGTAAAAAATTCCCTTTAAAGTCGGTGAAATTGTGCTCTTTAGAGGGCATTTGGTAGAGGAGAAATTTTTCTTTGTCTGAGAAATAATTATTATTGGAATGTAGCAGGGAATAAATTTTACTGTTTGGAAGACTCATATTTTTCCAAAAAAATGAAGTTAATTTTACTGAGTTTTTGTTTGGTTAGTTATGGAGTATTAGTGGGATTATGAGATTATTTACCAAAATAACCCCACTTGACACTATTTGTTCAGAAATTGTACGAACCAAAGGGTAATAATCATACAAATGAAAGGATAAAGTCGTCTATTCTTTGGTGGGTCACTTTTAACTTTGACTGGCAACAAAAAATTCTATCTAATCTATAGCATTCCAATGATACCAACAGTACATAAAATTACACACACAAACTATTTTCCGGAAAAAAAATTATCTGGAAAAGTTTGATGGTTTTTATACCAAACATGGTATTGTTATTCTCCCTATGATGCTTTCCAAGGAAACTAAAAAAAAAAAGTCTGGTACCAAACACACCCTTATAATCTTCCACGATTCTTTCCTTTTTCCTGTAGGAAGCCAAATGTACTTGAAAGGAAAGCAAAAGGTGTTGATATATCTTTAACCAATAGAAAGTTAGTATTAATTGTTGATAAGTCAAAAAAAAAATTAATTTCCTTGATTACTTGTCTACATATAAGTCGGTCTTTGGAGATAGTTTGCTTCCCACGATCATTTGCTTCATTTTTTTTTCTCTTGAAGGCCAAACATGCATAAAAACAAAGGGCAAGCCTAGAACTTGGATTATTAGCCACTTTTTCTCTTGAATGTCTTCACGAAACTTCAAGCTTATGGCCTTGTAAACATATCCATAGGTGTAGTTGTTTGAGAGAAGCTTTTTACGTTGAGTTTTCTGCCTCCTTGTCATTTGAACGACTTGCTGCCCAAGGGAGTTTAATGGTGTTTCGTCCATTATTGAAGGTTAGAAAGTGTTGAGGAGGTGTGAAGGAGACTAAATAAGGTAAAATACCTAGACTATGATTATATGAACATGAATTGTCATGGTATTAGGGCTGAATATGGAGATCTTATATCATGATTATTTAATGAGTTTTATGTATGGTTTTGGTTGTTTGTTGATTATATGCTAAAATATGCATGTATAGGCTTGAAATGAACAAAAGGAATCAATTGTAGGAACAAAGAACCAATCGATCAAGGCATGAGAAAGTATGCAATCTAAGTGTTTGATAAAATTTCTAAATGAAACTAAGATTTACAAGTGATCAAATGAAGAATGGTTCACTTAGATTAAATCACTTTTGGACCAAACATTCAACACAAAACTTATAGCTTAGTATCTTAGGATCTTAACCATCCATTTTATTCCATCTGAGAGGTCTTCAAATGGTTGTTTTCCTCCTTGAAAAGCCAACGACATGCACTTGAAAAGGAAGCAAAAAGGGGCTGTTTTGTTAGTTTTAAAGTTGGAAGACAATCTCTAAGCCAATTGGAGTTTAGTGGTGGTAAGTTTCATGAATTTTAATGGCTGAAATATGACTTGGAAATATAGGTTTACATGTCTTTTCCTTAAGTTTTCTTGAAACCTATGTGATGTTATATGTTGGGGTTTTCTATAGATTATGTTGGTTGGTTCATTTTTGTTGAAATATCACAATGAAATGGATTAAAATCTAAAAATGGGATGGTCTATGACACCATATATGATTCATCCCTTATGTGTTTAATTATGTATATCAAGTGTTTGATGTATTGCCTAAGTGGAATCATGAAATTGGAATGATTTTATTAGGATTTAAGTGAAGAAAATGGTAACTAGTTTAGAAGAAAATTGATGAACTTTAAATGAAAAATTCAACCTAGCATGAATAAGATACATGGATATGAGTTTAATGATGTTATGTTAAGTTAAGAATATGTTTTTAGTGGTAAGATTATGGTTCATTGATTAGAAGTTGCATTAATGTATGAAATTTATGAAATTCCTTTTGTTATGTAAGCTTCGGCCATTGAGCTTTACATTAGGCTATGATATTATTTTAGAGTTTTTCATGAAAGATTAAGGTATGTTATGTGCTATGGTGATGAGAGAACAAATTTTAAATTAATTTGACATTTTATGGTGTTAAAAAAACATATGGATGTAAGGGTTTTAAGTACTTTCAGAATTTTACGTAGTAGTGAGCTCAGTTTTAGAAAAATCATATCTCAATCAATTCTTAACCAAATGGTGTGTGAGGTACCAAATTGAAACCTAGGATGTCTAGTTTCTTGTCCTAAAATATGAGAATTTTATGAGCTCACATTACAGTTTTCAACAGGGCATTGTTCGTTTCCATTTTAGTTTTACAACAAGCAACAATGAGTTTACGAAATTCATATCTCCTTCGTTACTTAACGAAATGGGACAATTATTGTGTCAAATTAAAGATTAAGATGTCTAGTATTTGTCATAAAAATTACACAATAAATTGGGCTGTAGATCATTCCATAATAAATAAATCGTCCGCGACCCTGTTCTAGTAACGTTGGATTTTCAGTTTACTACTTACGACGGACGTATCTTGGGCTGTACTTATCATAATAAGACTTATGATATATCGTTGGAAAGCTTGTGACATGTAGGTTATGATGGTTAAGTATAAGAATATTAGAAAAAATTTTGTTGGATGAGCATGAATTGGTGTTGTGTTTTAACTTGGTTTACAAGTGGATTGATGATCCTATGTGCGGTCATTGTAGGTTGCCTCCCACGGATGTGATCCTTGAAGATTGAGCTTGGTGGATTGTCTTTGGTCCTTGACCAAAAGGATTTGGGCATTTCTGAGTGGACGAAGTTACGGTAAAACTTGCATTGGAGCTACCTAGCTTGGGAGCTTCAATAAGGTAATCCTTTGGTACTGGGGTTAATCCCCGTTTGTGCTCCACCATGTCCCTTGGGAGTAGTGGTTGGAGGTGTATGTTGATAATGTGTTATAACATGCTCATTGATATATGTATGTATATTGGGTATATAGGATGTATCGTGTCTCTGGCCAGTAGATAGTTGCCTTCAGGCGTTATTGACTTCCACTGGATAGGTCTCCATGAGGGAGTTCCAATTGACTTGGGGTCATGGAGTTGTTATCCGTTGAGGAGCACTCAAATTTGAGATCCTATGAAACATTAGCGAAAGGAAAATTTATAAGGAAAAAAAGGGAAATCAATCGTTTAATGTATTATTTAACATCATATAGGAGAATCTTAATCATTGTGATGATTTTGTAACTTTCTATCCCATTTTTTCTCTCTCATCCCTTGTCACTATTGGTTTACCATTGTATAATTACGTACCGTACGGAGGACAAAATTAATATAATAAGACTGGATAGAATAAAAGGACCAGATAAGAGTATGATAAAGTATAGTACTGATAAATTCATATCATTTATGTGTTTGATGTGCACTAGATAAGCTGTCGGACAAGATAATGTTATCATATCCGGTATTTGAGATGAACTATATTCATGATATAATATAAATAGATAAAAATACAATTTAAAATCAATTTTAAAATTATTTTTTTATTTTTTTTACACATTAGTTCTTATTTTAAATTATAAAAAAATTAATTTAAAAGTCATAATTTTAAATTAAATATATTAAAATACATAAAATAAAAAATATAACCTCACCAAAGAATTAAATTATTTAAAATTAAGTTTTAAATTGATTGTCAAGAATGGTGGCCACTTAGCAAGCAACTAGTAGCTGGTAGCAGTGGGTGGTTTTGGTGCGGTGGATGGCTAGTTGAAGTGCCAGTGGTGGTGACAATGGATGATGGTGACGAGGCCAACAACGACCGGTGATAATTGTGGTAGTTGACTAATGGCAACAGTGGCGATGGGAATGATGGTTGGTGCCTTGTGATTAGGGCTGGCGGTGGCCTGAGGTTGTGCCTGGCTGGTGATAGTGATCAAAGTGGTGGTTGTTGTAGCATCCCAAGGGCTGACAAGGGTGAGAGTGATCGTCAGTGCAAAAGAGGCACAAATAATGAGCGACTCATGCTAAATCTTGCAACTGGGGATACATGAATGAATCGAATCAACACCCGAAAGAGAGGGATTCCAAAGACTGTGCAGGTATGTGACTCTAGAGATGGGGATAATTTATAAGAATTACTTGGTACTACTATACTAACTTGGAGTAATTCTGGGATGGGTTACCTCCTGGGAAGTTTTCCCACGAAGTGTGTGAGTGATGACAAAGTTCATTGAAAAGTCTTGTGTTAGTTTGTGGGGATAGTCATTGATTTTGCAAGTGACCAAGAGCTACAAGTGGTATCAAAGCAAGGCTTCTCTCCCAGTACAGTATAGTTCGAGGATGAACTAGGGGAAAGCTGGTGGGTATGTAACATCCCAAGGGCTGGGGGTACATGAATGAATCAAATCAACAACTAAAAGAAAGGGATTCTAGAAACTGTGCAAGTATAAGACTATATAGTTGGGGATAACTTATAAGAATTAATTGGAACTACCTATACTAACAAGATGCATCTACTTTTCGGTAGCCCGAAACTGAAGAACTCCATATTTAAGCGTGTTTAACTTGGAGCAATTCTGAGATAGGTGACTTCCTACGAAGTGTATGAGTAAGGGCAAAGAACGCTAAAAATTTTCGTGTTAATTTGTGTGGACAATCATTGATCTTGCAAGTGGCCGGGTGTTACAGTGGTGATGGCGGCTCTCGGTAGCAATTGTGGTGGATGATTTATGGCAACGACGACGATGGCTAGTATTGGTGATGTTTAGTACCTGGTATCTGGTGGTTAGTGGTGGTGGCGGTGCTGTTAGTGACCAATGGCAATTGTGGGGCTAATTATTGGTGGTGGCGGGGACTAGTGGTGGTTAGAGTATGGTAGCCAATGACAATGGTGGCGGCAGTAGTGAGTGGTAGAGGTGGCCGATGGCCGATGACGGTGGTAATTAATCAATGGCAAAGACTTACCCTCACGTGCTCAATAAAATTCGTAGAAAAAATATATGGCTATATTTGAAATGAATGTGATGTGACTTATGTTGTCCTATCATGTCCATTCATATCCTACATCCCCTTGGGACAGCTTATCATGCTGCTGATAGGATAAAATGGGGGGAGTGAATCATCTCATGTTAAATGAAACATGACATGGTCATGTAGAGGAATCATAATCATACAAAAGTGGATAAATGATGATAAGAGAAGAAAAAGAAAAAATATTGAAATAAATAGCTACAAAATCATCCCTGTGGATTTATCTTTGTATTATTGTGATTTCTCCATATGACCTTGTCATGTTTTATTTAACATAAGAGTATTTATTTTCTAAAATGGGCCAACAGAATAAGCTTGTTATGAGCCCGTTTGTTTGGGCTTATAGAAAAAGTAATTTTATTTCTTCCAGAATTTAGAAGTGCTTTTTATAAAAGTTAAAACTATTTATATTTTATAAAAATATTTAATTTTTGAAAATAATATTTTTCTTTTGACTTTTGCTTTTTTTAGAAGTTAAAATTTTTAGCTTCTAAGAAAGTAGATTTTTGACTTTTTTGTGAATTCTGTTTTTTTAAAAGTAGACATTCAAATGAATTTAAAGTGAGAAGTGCTTTTGTTTTCTTAAAATAAAACAGGTTACGTAGAGAGAAAAATTCATCCAAACGAACCCTATATCTTATTGGTTCACAGCATAATAAATAAGTGTGATATATAATAATTATCTAGTTTCACTAAAAATGACACAAAGTTGTGTCATTTAAAATGGAAAATAATTTTTTCATAATTTATTTGGGTTAAAAGTTTGTCCTTTTAAAATATGTAACTTATGTCCTTTTAATAATTTATAATTATATATTAAAGATAATACATAATTATAATATTAAAGCTGTCCTTTTTTTTCTCTTCAAACACATTTTGCTGAAATGAAAAATAAAAAAATATTTTTAATATTATAATTATATACTATTTTTAATATATAATTATAAATTATTAAAAGAATATAAGTTACGATCTTTAAAATCACAAACCATTCCCTTAATAATTTGTCGTATCTTTTCCTTTTTATAATGTGCAGCAAACGAAACCTGCTTTCATCCGCGAGGAGACACAAAAGAAAAAGGACTCTAACTTCTAAAAACTACTTTCTCATTATTTAAAAAAAAAATTAATAATAAAGAAGTGAAAATCCCAAAACAGAATCCGAAAAGCTTAGGTCAAAATCTTCACCCTCTCAGATAATTCCACTACTTTCCCTTCCCTCTCTTCACTCTTTTCCCCCAATCCACAATGTCCATATTTGTGGTACCCCAAAACCACAACTCCAACAACACCACCACCGCCATGATCAGCGTCGTGGACCACTACCTCCCCTACGACACCCATAACCTCTACGACGTAACCTTCAATTCCGAAACCATCCACACTCTCCTCACCTCCGACCCCTCCATGGTCGATTCCTGGATCTCCGACATACTCCGCCTCTACCGCCAACACATCATCGTGGGCCTCGACGTCGAATGGAGGCCCAATACACAGCGCAACATGGATAACCCAGTAGCCACACTCCAACTCTGTGTGGGTCGCCGCTGCTTGATCTTCCAGATCATCCACGCGCCCTCCATCCCAAACTCGCTGATGTCGTTTCTTCGCAACACCAATCACACCTTCATGGGTGTTGGGATCCACGAAGACGTGGAGAAGCTTCTGGTAGACTACAACCTTGGAGTGACCAACATGGTTGACCTTCGGACCCTCGCTGCTGACGTGTATGGTGACCCTGAGATGAGAAGGACTGGGCTCAAAACGTTGGCTCGGCGCGTTCTTGAGACAGAGGTTGAAAAGCCTGAGAGGATAAGGAGGGGAAGATGGGACAACATGTGGCTAACTGCAGAGCAGGTTCAGTATGCTTGTGTTGATGCCTTTCTCTCCTTTGAGATTGGACGCATTTTGCGTCCTAATGGGGTTACCTTCTCTTATTATACTCACTGATCTAAGTTTGGTTTCGTAGTTTGTCTCAATTTCATGTGTGGTTTCGTAGTTTGCTTAATTTCATGTTTTAGAATTTGGGGACCTGAGGGTCTTTATGTTTAATGTAAATCTGATGATGATGATAATTGTTCTGCTGCGAGTGAGTTGGGGTCATTACTCTTTAATGTGTGGATTTGTGTAAATGATAGCCCCGGAATAGAAATGGATAATGAATGCTGTTTACGTTTTTTTTTATAAAAGGAACAAAATGATTCCAACTCTTTAATTTCAATGGTAATTTTGGGGGAAGAGTATGTATAATCTGGACCACACTTTCTAATTAATGAAATTATGTCAATTCACTTTGACTTACATGCTGAGTAGGTTATTGTTGTTGCGGCCTAATGACCCTTATAATGCAAAGATCAAGACATATCACGGGTTTTTGTTTTTTTTTTTGGCAAATTATTTATTAAGATATTGTGTTAGTTTTAGATGCGCGTGTTCTTCTTCCTGCTCGATTTATGTAAAATTCAGTACAACTCAAGAAGTATATTTTGGCAATTTTTATGTGTATCTTATAAAGTGCGGGACTTGGTACTAGAGCCGGCAAAACGGGCTCAGCTCGGCGGGCCAATCCGTCCAACCCGTCAAATGGGGTAGGGCGGGATGAGTTTTTCAACTCATTTCAAAAGCGGGGCGGGCGGGCTTATTTTTTGGTGAGTTGACGGCGGACATAGACGAGTCGAGGCGGGTAAGTATAAAATAGGTTCGGGCTGGCGGGCCAACCCGCCAAACAGGGCGGGGCGGACTGGGCTGAATTTTTCAGCCCACTTTCAAAAGAGGAACGAGACGGACTAGCTCATTTTTTGACGGGTTGATGGCAGGGTGAGACGGGGCAGGGGCGAGACGGGACGGGCCGCCCACTTTGCCACCTAGGTATGACACATTGATAGGTATGTTATGATTTTTTTTCATAAGTTGCATATGCATAGTTTGAACGTGTACACTCACCATGTATATATTTTACTCTTATTTTATTAGTAAATAATTTTTCAAAACAATTAAACCGGTAACATTTTTTTTAATTTTGCATCATAAGGTCAAAAAGCCTGTTGTTGTATATTAAATCATGAATAATGCTAGCAGTCCACAGTGGCATATAAGATATAACACTGCTGTCGCGCTCTGGTGATTGGTGAAGCAGCGATATAAAATTCATACGGAGCTTTTGAAAACTCAAGAGAGTGCTTCCGATTTGCAAATAATAAAGGATGGTAACTTCACAAAATGTGATTCCCTTTTTTATTTGTAAAATAATTGAATCGACAAAAAGTAACTAAATGACAGCACTAAGTCACTAACTTCTTAATTTGTTTGCATCTTCGCTCCCTCTCTCTAATTTCGTTCCAACCTCACAACTTTTTCTTTTAATTATTTTTCTTTACCTTTACCCGAGTGGCTTTTATTTTCGGGGAAGAAAATGATAATTTAGTAGGTTCTTTGACCAGTTTTGGACTTTTTCCTTTTAAATGTACGAATTTAGTATTTGGACGAGAGATATTATCATTTGGGGTTTTTAAGTGCTGCAGGGGGATCCAGCGTATGTAGATGACGCTTCCGGATACCTGCGGCACTCATGAATTTTTTTTTTATTTTTTGAACTCAGTGCCGCCCCATCCCCATCAGCACTAATTCTCTCTTCTTTTATTACTTAAGTGTCCATCCCCCAACGACACTCATTTAAATGTTTTATATTTTTATTTTGAGTGTTGCCCCCTCCCTCGGGGAAAACTCGGACGACATGCCAAGTGGCACAACCCCAACCGTCTGAGCACATTATCCTATTTTTTACTTCCATGTTCTCTCACTTTCATTGTTATAGTCAAATTTTAGATCTGTGAACATTCTTCTATCTTCCTTTTTTTCCATTTGCATCATTCTCTTCTCCCTTGTTTTTTTTTTCATTTGCAGAGCATACGATTGGTTGCAGCAAAGTGAAGCAAGCACTGGAGCTCTTCCAAAGCAAAAAAACTCTAAGGCAAGTAAGTTAACATCATTTTCATTTTATTAATTAATTAAAATCATTTAACTTTTTTTTTTACTTATTTTATATATTTGACGTAATATTTAGAACACGCTAGTTTTTTTTATTTTTGATAATCTAATACACTAGCTTTTTTACTAACACAAGCATGTGCAATTAATTATATTTATATAGTCGTCATAATAATTAGTCATTGGAAAGTAGTGTTTAATATTTTAGTAATATGATTTAAAATAATTAATTTGTAAATATTTAGGGTTTCTTTTAACTAGAAATAGTTGTTATAATTTTTGAAATTAATTATTTTGTATTATCCTAATAACATAGGCATGTATAATAAATAATATATAGAGATTTTAAATAATAATTAATTTTTTATGTTCATGTGTAATTAATTATATTAACATATTTGACATAATAATTAGTCATTGATGAGTAGTGTTTAGTATTTTAATAATGTAATTTAGAATAATTAAATTGTTTTTAATATTTAGGGTTTGTTTTAATTCGTTATAGTTGTATTAATTTTAAATTAATTTTTTTGTGATATCCTAATATAGGCATGTATAATTAATAGAGATTTTACATAATAAAATATATTTTTATGTTCATGTGTAATTAATTATATTTAGATATTTGACACAATAAAATATATTGTGATATCCTAACATAGGCATGTATATTGCTTAGTATTTTAATAATTTTATTTAGAATAAATTATTTAGTTTATCCCATTTCTAATTTTCATAAAACATCTTATTGCTTAATATTTTACTATTTTCTTTCTAGATATAGGGTCAATTTATGCAATCATATATTACAATGGTAGAATACATGAAGGTGCTATAGGATGGACATTTGAGGGGCAAACCAAAGGAATACAAATACAATGCGGGTTGAGATTGCATGATTTAAAAACAAAGATTGCGGAGAAATTGAAGCTATGTCCCAATCAATCGGTGTCTCGATTAACCGACTGATATCGTACAATAGAAAAATTTGTTGTGCTAGAAATTGCTCACGATGATGATATTGATATGATATTCAATCTATTTCTACAACAGTCTCTTCAACAACAGTATGCAATGACGATGCTTGAGTTGTATGCCGACATTGCTTGTGCAGGCAGTTCTTCGTTGCTGGTTGAGTCATTGGATCTAAATTTGTCACATTCTGATGCTCCATCACTTCACTGGCAAAATACAGTTTTGCAAGAGGAAGACGGTGCAGCTAGGGGTGTAAATGGGCCAGGCTGGCCCAGCCCCGCCTACGACCCGGCCCACATTGAGCCCAGTCCAGGTCCGGCCTTTCAGAAAAGTAGAGTATGTTTAGGCTTATAAAAAAGCTTTTTTAACAAATAGGTCATAGGCCAATTTTGTCAAGCCCGGGCTACAACCTTGTAGGTTGGCCTATTTAATTTATTAAAATAAAATAATAAAAATATTTATTTTATGTGGCAAAGACGCAAAGTACCAAATACCAATATCTCTTACTTTTTGTGCTATTTTATTTTATGAAAGGAAAACTTGTCTAATGTCTCCAAATTTTACATGTTGTTGCAGCTTAATACCAAGGAGTAATGGGTACCTTGCTGGATTATGATGTTACTAATGAAGATCTTTCAATAATACTCTTATTTCCCTTGTCTTGATGGTGGTTTAAAGATTTTTAGATATATGACATTCTCTTGTAGACTTTATTTCAACTTTCAGTAATTGTATTTTTCTTATTTTCTCCATTTCTTTGACTCTATTCCTCTATGATATACATTCTAGAGCTGGGGTATTATGTTGACTCTTTCTTGTTTGTCATTTTTTTCTTATGAGAAGTACTAGTGCATGCATGAATGGAACTTCTTTGCTCTATACAATTATTTTTTTTGCTTAGTATCTACAGTGGGAGGCCTACAAGGCCTATAGGCCATGTCAGACTTTCTTATTTTAAAAAATGGGTCGGGCTTAGCCTACAAATAAAGCCTTTAATAGGCCAGTAGGCCAGATATGCTGAATTTTTTTGACATAGGCTTGGGCCAAAAAGGCCAAAGCCCAGCCCATTTATACCCCTAGGTGCAGCTTATGTGGATGTCAATTTGGGTGCCTCTGATGATAAATATGAAGAAGTTCCTCCTGAGGGTAGTGACTCTGATGAATAAGTTCCTCTTGAGGGTAGTGACTCTGATTGTGATGTGGACACCAATAATGTCGAAAATGTCGTCCCGATTGGTTAGTTAATTAACCTTCGGATTATTGTATTTTACATGTTATTTTCATGTGTTACTTGAATATGATAGAGTGTTAGTATGTGTAGGTCAAACTAATACTCCATTCTGGAATGCGAGTCCGCACTATGCTTATATTAATTGGGAACACCCAGATCAAGAACCAATTATTGATGGAGGGAATGATGGTTCTTGGCAAATGGGGGATGAATTATATGTTAATCAAGAATTTGAAAGTAAGGAATCGGTACAGAAGACAATCAAATGTTATTGTATGAAGAATCATCACACTGCTGCAGTGGAGGAAAGCAAAAATAATAAGCTTCTCGTAAAATATGTTAATCATGCTGAAGGGTGTCCTTGGAGGGTGTGAGCAATGTTACCTAGATGGAGAGATCGGTGGATTGTTACTAGATGGGGAAGCAAACACACTTGAGTGAACCCTTATCTTTCGCAGGATCACAAACAACTCGATTCTGACTTCATTTGTTCATGTATTCTAGGTATGACTATGAAAAATATATGTTTATCTAAGAAAAATGACGATGGTATAATGTACTTGTACTTAACGGATGTATTCCACCATTTTTTTTTATCATGCATGGTTCAGGTGGATCCGTCAATTAGCATTGAATTTATTCAGGAGAGAATTTCTAGACTTAATGGTTACAAAGAGTCCTTTCGAAAAGCCTGGACGACCAAACAAACAGCCATAGTTAAGTTGTTTGGTGATTGGGAAGATTCATACGCCTATCTGATAAGATGGTTAAAGTACATGTTGTCGTTTGCTTGAGGTTCATTTTACAGGATTGATTGACTTTCGTACATTATGGACGGTGAGCTAGATGATTCTCGTGATATGTTTCATCGTGTTTTTTGGGCATTCAAACAATGCAATGATGCCTTCAAATCTTGTAAACCTGTGATACAAATTGATGGCACTCATCAGTATGGAAAATATAAGGGGACGATGTTGATTGCAACCACACAAGATGGTAATAGTCAGGTGTTTCCGCTTGCTTTTGCTATTGTAGAATCTGAGACACTTAGTGATTGGTCATGGTTTCTACGAAAGCTACGTTGTCATGTGACTGATATGCAAGGTATATGCCATATATCAGACCGTCACATAAGCATAAAACAAGCAGTAGCAAACAATCTTGATCTTTGGGGGCCTCCACATGCCTATCACGTGTATTGTATCAGACACATTGCTAGCAATTTCAACCATAAATTCCATAATGTTCAATTGAAGGAGGACTTACTGAATTTAGGTATGATTACAGGACTTATTCTATAATGTATGTCATGGTAGAACTTAAATTTGTTTTTATTTTTGTGTAGGGTGCATAGCTTCCAGGAAACATTTTGTTCAATTATTGATGAAATTCTGGGATCAAAAACCAGAGATTGCTGCTTCGATTGATGGTATCTCAAAGGAGAAACGGGCTCTTGCATATGACGAAAAAGGTAGATGATATTGGCATATGACTACTAATTTGTCAGAGGAGGCTGCGAACAAAGTGCTAAAGGGTATCCGAAGTATGCCGAGTTCTCTATTGTGAAATTCACCTACAGCAGGTGTGTATAATACTTTGTTACGATAGCATGTCATGCTCGTCAGGAAATAGCTGTTGGCAACTGATATTGTAAGGTTCTTTTTGAGGAGATGCAAAATAACCAAGAGGGTGCATCTACACACATTGTGCGCAGTTATGACCCTAATGGCCACATGTTTGAGGTTGAAGAGGCTTTTAATTATTTTACATAGAGAGATGGTCGTGTTGTTTCAATTGATTTGACCACACCTGATTGTCAATATGGAAGGTTTACTGTGTTCCACTATCCATGCTCTCATGTTATTGCAGCGTGTAGGTTCCGAAAGATCGATTTTTATAAATATGTGGACTCGGTGTACTCTCTTCAGAACATTGTCAATGCATATTCTGTTGAATGGTACCCGATTGGGGATGAAGATGTTATACCACCGTTTGAAGGTTGCATTTTATGTCCTAACCATGCATTAGTGCGTCCGAAAGGTAGACCAAGATCAACATGTATAAGGAATGAAATGGATGAGCGAGAGTCGCAAAGACGCAATGTTAAATGTGGCATTTGTAGGCAAGTTGGTCACACAAGGCGTACATGTCCTACACGGGAGTCATCGTCCAACCAGTGAAATAGATTATTTATTTTTCCTTTATTTGCAACGTTTTCCTTGTAGGGTTAAGCACTTTTTCTAAGAATTATTAATGTTGTTAACAATCATGGGTTCTATGCCAGAGTTACTATTAATTGTTTTTTTAATTTTTGGTTGAATCTATTAATTATTTTTAACAGTTGAAAAGCTAAAATGGTATGTTTGTTCTTTTAAATACGATAGGTACATGGCTGAAAGGAAACCCCTGTATGCGCTGGAAAACATGGAAGCTTTTGTATATTAAAGGACCAACACCAACCGTAAACAAATGGAACCTTTTATTAGACGCTAGCAAAAGAGCTTTCTTGTATAGAGTAGTTTATTTAACTGAATACTTACTTATCTTAATAAAAAAGAACCCCTTGATTAACTAATAATTGCTTGTAATTCAACATAGTAACCAAACGAATATGTCTTAATATATATTTAGTTTTTCAAAAAGATTATGATAATTGAATATCTTGGCAAAGCATTACTTCACAAAATTTTTGTGTAAGGATTTTTTTGAGAGAGGGATGAATGTCAATCAAGCAACAAGTGAGTTATAAAAAAATTACACTTCAATCTCTTTAAAAATAAATAAACAAATAAAACTTTTTGCGTTGTCAATTTTCCAAATTAAAATCATGACTCGAAAACTAAGTGATCAGTAGAAATTCTATTCATACTTGGCAATGCCAAATGATCTTTGAAGGCAGATCAAAGTTCCTGTCTTTGTACAAATAATTGGTCATCTTTGAATATATCGTGCCTTAGTGGATAATGATGGGGGTAATAGGATTGAATTGAGCATATTCCATCAATGATTTTTACGATATCTGTCCTTGAGTTGTATATATTTAAAATGTACATTAATACATAATCAGGATATTGACAATAATCTTGTGCCTAAGTTTTTTCTATTTGGGCAGCTGATAAATGTTTCGAGAACTAAATGAATATTATTAGCATTGATCATACTCAGAATCGAACATCTGCAGCCTCTGGAATCTTGGGGCACTTCAATCCATCGATCCCACAAAGGATTTAAGGGACCGATTGTTTTGTCAAACAAAGAAAATGTATCTTTTGTTAGAAAATATATGAAAGATAACATGTGGGTGCAACATCGAAATAGGAATGCTCTTGATTAAGGAGCATTTTACATTTATATTGGATATATAATTTTTTTAGATACCAACAAGTATTAAAACTTCAAAGCCTTAATGGATCTTATTATTCCAGTTTTGGATTTGAATCTATTATCATTTAGACAGGTCAAATCCTGAAGTCTAGTTGGAATGAAACTAACAACTCTTGTGTTCTTCAATTAGATATCTTAGACTTGAATTCATAAAAAATGCAAACAGGTGAAAATGCATCGATAGAAGATTTATCTCAGAATTTGAATGAGGTGTTGGAATAACTTTCAAAATGATACAAACAAAATCCAGTAGTGAAATAAATACCAAAATCCAGTAGTGAAATAAAAATAAGCAGCCGCAAGGCCAACAAGGAGCAACTGCGCCACCTAGCAGTTCAGGCTGCAGGTTCTCTGCAAAGGGAAAGTACTTCAAATCAGATTTGGAGAATCGAAGTGTCATCTCAAATGGTAGTTTCAAAATTTTGATTGAAATTTTCCGAAATCCACAATTGCTTTAATATGTACATGCAAATCGCAAAAGATAATATATGTAATAATAATATAAAGCTTTCTCTTTAACTGATGATTACTTGTCCTGTGTTATTTTTTTTACATGTTTCTCGGTGTGCATTAAACACAACCTAGATTTAAGGGGTAAGCATAGAGAATACTTGTTGGCTATTTAGGAAAATCCTTTGCGAATATATATTAAGATTTTATGATAGATAAGATAACATTATACAAAATCCCAGCTACTAGAACAATTTGTCTATAGTGTAAAGTCAAACCAAATTGCCACTGCCAAAAGCCAAACCAAACAATTTGTCTATTCGCATATATAGTCAAACCAAAAGCCATTTTTTAACATACCAGTAAAAGAAAAGGAAAACTATACCTGTTTATTGAAATAAACTGAGCCAATGCTTTTGAAATGACATAGACCTCGTCCGAAGCATGTGGAAAGTATCTATACCAAACAAGCATGAATACCAATGTCAACAAAGAAAGACCAGGAAGAGAGAGGGAGAGAGAAACAATTTCTGGATCTAGCACCATGATTTAGACAAAGTAATTTTATATTTAGAAAAACAAAACAAAAAACAATCCAATTTATACTGGCGAAATGTGTAAGAACCTGCACCGTTAAATTAAGAATTTAAATAATTAATTATGAATTTAGAAAATACTTCCATAATTGAGCTTGAATAATT